TCCTTCTCCTCCTCCTCCTCCTCCTCCTCCTCCTCCTCCTCCTCCGTCTCCCACGCAGGCGGGTGCCCCCCTCAGCCTGCCGAGGTTCTCGAGCGCATCCCCAAGGCTCGAGAACCTGCCTGGCATGTCAGCCGAACATGCTGTGCACCCTTCGGAAGCCTAGCTCCTTCTCGAAAAGAAGGGACGACTACACAATCATAAGCTTTCGGGGCTTCGCGCGGATTTCTTGGATCGGCGCTGGGACCCCGCTCCCTGGTGCGCGGAGCGCGCCAGGGGCGGCGCTGGAGGCGCCGCCAGGGGGGACCCAACGCAGATCCAAGAAAGCCGCGCGGAGCTCCGAAAGTGTGTGCTTGCGCCTTCTTTTTGCTCTTCGGTTTTCCAATGCCTCCGCGCCCTGACCCACCCACGGCACTACCACAGACCCCCAACCTGGGGGACAACGACAGGGGGTGACTGGCATAGGGAGGGACAAATCGACCCCGAATCGGCGATACATCGCCGATAGATCGGCGATATGCCCCCGATAGTGAGTCCGCACGTTCCTGGGCGGGGGTGGGCTATCGGGCCCATCTCGGCGATGAGTGGACGATCGGGGTCCATTGCATCCCTCCTGAGCCCCTCCCCCCTATCGTTGTCCCTGGCGACCTCTCCCTGGGGTTAGCCCCGGACGCTTCTAGCTGACCAGCCTCTCGCCCTTCGGCGTCCAGGAGCCAGGTGCGGCTGGACGCCCGACCGGACGGCGCTTGGAAGAGATCACTCCTGGAGGAAGAACAAGCCGCATACGGTCGGCTTTGCAAAAAGATAGCGTGCGCCATCGACCTCCGGAAAACGCGCTGTCCCTGTGAGGCGATCCTCCCGCGACGGCCCCTTCTGCGCACGCTGTCGCCCCGCGAGGGCCTCGTCGGTGCACGCTGCCCCCCTGCCAGGGCGTCCTCGGTGCGCGCTCCCCCCAAGGTGGGGGACAGCGTGCCACGAGCGGGCTGGCGGCGCCACGCCGCACGCTGCCTTTGCAGCGCCAACCGTGGGCACAACCTCTCGGAAGTCCGCGCAGGTTTCTCGGCTCTGCGCTGAACCCTCCCCTGGCTCGTGGAGCGCGCCAAGGGCGGCGCCGGAGGCGCCGCGGGGGGGGGGGCCCAGGCGCCGTCGATCCCAGAAATCTACGAGGAGTTTGTTTTAGTAATCTATGCTTCTGCCGTTCTTTGTTCTTCGAGACTCCAGAATCGATGCCGTGCTGGCCGAGCTCGCGGAAGAGCCTGGAGTACTCGATCTTGGGGCACCGGTCCATGACGATGCTGAGCCCCGCGGCACTGGCCCGCTGCGCGGCGGCGTCGTTCCGTACGCCAAGCTGCAGCCAGACCGTGGTGATCCCCCGCTCCGCCTTCATGGCGATCGCCTGTGAGAGAGGCCCCCCAGATGGGGTCTGAGCAGATGGGGCCGGAGGATCGCGCCGCATCGCCGATCCATCGCCGACGTCGGCGATGCACCAGCGACACAGGCCTGGAGAAACTCGGGCTCCACATCGAGCCGCAGCGCCGATGCGGCGAGATCCTCCGACCCCACCTGCTTCGACCCCATCTGGGAGGCCTAGACAAAAACCCCCAAACCCTCGGCAACACTCCGCTTTGTCAGGGACCGCATCGCCCCCGCCGGCTTCGCTGGGGATCGCCTCTCCCCCTTCCGCTTCGCTGGGGACCGCTTCACCCCAGACCCCTTCGCTGGGGAACCGGCTTCGCCACCGAGCTCCTTCGCCAGGGAACCGCTGCGCCCCGAAGCTGCCTCGCCCACGACCCCTTCGCCAGTGCGCTCGTAGCAAGACGCCGCTGTTCTGCGGGCTGGGCCGCCGGTGTGTTCTCTGTGCGTAAAATGTTACAGACAACTTTCAACTGTTAGGAGAAGGAGGAGGAGGGAGAAGGAGGAGGAGGAGGAGGAGGAGGAGGAGGAGGAGGAGGAGGAGGAGGAGGGGGAGGATGTCAAATTATAGAACATCCAACTTGCAGCGGACTGGCGGACCTTCGCGGGCGGACGAGCCCTGACGCGTGCGCGGGCGGGCGCCGCAGCCGGCGGCGGGCCGGCAGGGCCCTCAATGGTGGAGTTCGAATCGGACGGGGCGAGACGGCACTCCGCGAAGCAGTCCCCGGGCGAGGCGGACGGGGAGGGAGCAGTCGGGTGCGAAGTGGCCTCGGGGCGACGCGTTCGGGGGCGAAGCGGTCTTGGGGCGAAGCGGGCGGAGCTGGAACAGACGGGGGCGAAGCGGTCGGGGACGAAGCGGCCGGGGGGCGAAGCGGGCCCTCTTCCCGACCCTTGACGACGTCGACGCTGTGCCACACGCCAGGCCCACTTCGAAAACCATCGCCAACAACATGTTTGATTCTCGTTTTTTGCAATCTGCCCGAATGTGGGGATACACCCGCCGCTCAGCCTGGTCCGTGATCGCGCCCGCGGCTTCCGAATTCCGGAAAACATCGACCATGTCGATCCGAACGTCCGACGGAATCTCCGCAAGATCCCCGTACACTGTCTCGCCCAAGATCGTCTGGCCCTTGGCGCGCGCATTCACGGGGATCACGCGGTATCCCTTGGCCTGCAAGTACTTCATCGCAAAGTACGAGGGCCTGTTCCACTCAGTGGAAGCTCCCACCATGGCGATCACCTTGACGCTCCCCAGAATGTGCTTGATGTAATCATCGTCGTAAACCAAGGGAGGCGGCTCATCACCAGCAGTGGCCGCCGAGGCCAGCACGTGCCTGTTCAGAGCCAGGGTGCGACGTCGCGCAGCAGCTGCCGCAGCGTCCATTGCCCTAACAGGCCCAGTGGGCTCACCAGAAGAAACACATCCGCACAAATACAAACTTTCGGAGGTCCGCGCGGCTTTCCTGGATCGGCGCTGGACCCTCCCGTCCCTGGCGCGCGGAGCGTGCCAAGGGCGGCGCCGGAAGCGCCACCAGAGGATGCAGGCGCCGGTCCAAGATATCAGCGCGGATCTCCGAAATTTTTGATTCATGTTTTTCTGGTTCCTCTGCAGGACTTGATGCTGGAGCTGGAGCCCCGTGGCGGCGGCGTGCTCATGCCCTCCCATGTGGGGATACTCGGGGCCCCCAAAACTGTGTAGCGACGAACCGCGCGGTGACCTCGATGTCCACAACGTCCTCACCGCGCAGTCCGTCACCGCACGGTCTTGGGACCTCGGAGGCCCCAATCGCCCGAGACGTCCCTCGGAGCATGGCCCGAGTCCCAAAACCGTGCGGTGGCCCGAAGCCCCACTGACTCACCACGCGGCGTGATCATCACACCTCTCGTTGGGAAACCAAGAGGTACCCATGCTGCCACTCCCCGAATCCGCCCCCCTTGGGGTGCGTTCTGACCAAGATTTTTCCGACCGAGGGCCCCCCAGGGAGGCCCACAGAGGCGAAGATTAGGCGGCAAGACGAGCGGTATCGGTACCTTTTTCTCCTCTCGGTTTGGTCACCACACTGCTTGGGCCCCCCCGAAATACCCACACGACCTTCCCCCCGCCGAGTGTCGCCCCTGCTCGGCCAGAGTGAACAATCAGGAGGGGAAACTAGGCACAGACACAGAGAGACGTAGACTTCCAAAGAACATGCTGGACCAATGGAGGGGAAAACGACAGTCCAGAACGCATGGCCGATTTCGGAAACCCTGAGCCCAAAGATGTTTCATCTCTTGGGGGCGCATTTTTCATTTCCGCCGACCTTCCGCCGCGGAAGAGATGGCAACTCCTTCGATCCTCGAAGACAAGGCCCTTTTTGGAACGCCCCATATGGCACATGGAGGGGAAGACGACAGTCCAGAGCACACATAGAAACATGTGGGAAATCCCGGAGGCAGTGTGTATATTTGTTTGTGCCTTCCTGGGCAGGAAGAGGAGGAGGAGGAGGAGGAGGAGGAGGACGAGGAGGAGGAGGAGGAGGAGGAGAGGAGGAGGAGAGGAGGAGGAGGAAAAGGAGGAGGAGGAGGAGGAGGGGGAGGAGGAGGAGGAGGAGGAGGAGGAGGAGGAGGTGGAGGGGACCAGATGGCAAATGGAGGGGACGACGACAACGAAGAACACACACAGAAACACGTGGGGAATCCCGGAAGCAGTGCCTGTATTGGTTTGAGCCTCCCCAGGCCCCTGCAGAAGCAAGGAGGCCCGACGGCTGTGCCCCGCGCCGGCGCTTGCCGTCCGCCAGCCCCTCCCCCTCCGGGGGAGGGCTGATGGGGAAGGAGGAGGAGGAGGAGGAGGCAGGACGGAGGAGGAGGATGAGGAGGAGGAAGGAGGAGGGAGGAGGAGGAGGGAGGAGGAGGAGGAGGGAGGAGGAGGAGGAGTGGAGAGGGGGGCAGGAAGAGGAGGAGGAGGAGGAGGAGGAGGAGGACCAGTGTAAACCCAAGAGTCATTAACGATGTTGGAATAAACCCTCCCTCCAAGCTCCCTCTTCATAGGCCCCTACAACGGGTTCATTTCCACTGGGGGAACTGCCTCGTTGGAAGACAACCGTTTGAAGACCCTGGAGCATGCCAAAACATTGTTCTCGGGATTTCAACGCCACGGGTGAGCCTGCGTGTTGCGTCTTGACGATCCTGAATCGTGCCAGAACGCGATTCGTGGGACTTCAGCACTGCAAGCCAACGTAACAGCTGCACCCTCATAATCCTGAGTCCTTCCGAAACGCAGATTCTGGTACGCTGATCATGAGAATTCGTGAAACTCCTTCCAATCTTTAAAACGAAGGTGCGCGGCGCCACGGCGAGAACTACATTTTGAAAACGACTCGCCCTCCATCCGTGAAGCCCTTGCTATCTTTAAGACGAATGTGCCCGGCGCTAAGGCGAGAACCACATTTTGAAAACGACCCGCCCTCCATCCGTGAAGCTCTTGCAAATTGTAAAGACGAATGCGCGCGGCGCTCAGGCAAAAAACACGATGAAAACGACCCGCCCTCCATCCGTGAAGCTCTTGCACATTTCAACAACGAATATGCGCGGCGCTACAGCGAGAACCACATTTTGAAAACCAACCGCCCTCAATCCGTGATGACCAATGTGCGCGGCGCTAAGGCGAGAGCCACGTTTCGAGAACGACCCGCTCTCCATCTGTGAAACTGTTACCACTTTTTAAACTTCACCCGCTTGAAACTGGCGAAACGCCCGACCCGCACTAAAAACTGGCCTCGGGGTGCGACAGGGAGAAGTTATAATAAGAAAAAGGAATGGAGGAGGAGGAGAAGGAGGATGAGGAGGAGGAGGAGGTGGAGGAGGAGGAGGAGGACGGATGGGGGATGAGGAGTAGGAGGAGCAGGAGGAAGAGAAGGATGAGGAGGAGGATGACGACGAGGAGGACGAATGGGGGAGGAGGAGAACGGATGGGGGAGGAAGAGGAGGAGGAGGCGGGAGGAGGAGGAAGGAGGTAGGAAGAGGAGGAGGAGGAGGAGGAGGAGGGAGGAGGAGGAGGAGGAGAGGAGGAGGAGGAGGAGCGGAGAAGGAGGAGGGAGAAGGAGGAGGAGGGAGGAGGAGGAGGAGGAGGAGGAGGAAGAGGAGGAGGAGGAGGAGGAGGAGCGGAGGAGGAGGAGCGAGGAGAGAGAGGAGAGGAGGGGAGGAGGAGGAGGAAGGAGGAGGAGGAGGAGGAGGAGGAGAGGTAGGAGGAGGAGCAGCTATAGGGCGGTCCAGTGCCTTCCTGGGCAGGAAGAGGAGGATGAGGAGGAGGAGGAGGAGGAGGAGGAGGAGTGAGGAGGGGGAGAGGAGAGGAGGAGAGGAGGAGGAGGAGGAGGAGGAGAAGGAGGAGGAGGCGGAGAATGAGGAGGGGAGAAGGAGGAGGAGGAGGAGGAGGGCGGAGGAGGTGCAGGAGGAGAGGGAGGAGGAGGAGGAGGAGGAGCAGCTAGGGGGTCCAGCGCCGACCCGAAAAACCCGTCCGAACATCGGACATTACATCTGAACCCGGTTGTGTTTTTTTTGATTCCACCCCAGTGGAAAATTATTTACTTTCATCCTTCGATAGGGGACGGTCGGAGGCAAACTCTCGCGACCTGACCAGTCGCGGCCTGACCACTCAATCAGTCCGAACCGACCGCGTGACTTCCATCGTGACCGACCAGCACGCGACCGCTGGACGACGCAGACCCCCCCCGCGAGCCCTGGCTCCACCAGAGGCATACTGAGCCAGGATTCGGGTGGCCTAACTTCGCGCGTCGCGCCCGGCGATGCGCGTCGCGCGGTCATCTTCGCGCTCCCGCGCCGGCACTCCAGAGGAGGGCGCCGCTCCAACCCAAGCCGCGGTGCGAGACGCGAGATCATCTTCTCGCCCCTGGGGGTGGGCCAGAAGGATGGAGCGCCGAAGTTTGGCACGGAGAAGGAAGGGGGGAATGCAGCGGCAGCCACGAACAACTGAATGGTTGCCACACGATCGCCGTTACCATGACCACGATCCAGAATCGTCCGATTGGCACGCGCTGATGGCGGATCCAAACAACATCCCCCGAACATTCCACATGGGCCCAACGTCACCCAGACGTGGGCAATCGCAATCGACCTCCAATCTCACCCCCAATCTCCACAATTGGATCAGACACCAGGGTACTCTTTTTGAGGCGTCTTGGCCTCGTAGGGCAGGCAGAATGACATCCACCGGCGCCAGGAGAAGGAGGAGGAGGAGGATGAAGAGGAGGAGGAGGAGGAGAAGGAGGAGGAGGCGGAGGAGGAGGAAACAAATGTGGAGGAGGCGAAGGAGGATGATGAGGAGGAGCAGGAACAGGAGCAGGAGGATGAGGCAGAGGAAGATACAGATGATGATGATGATGATGATGATGATGATGATGATGATGATGATGATGATGATGATGATGATGATGATGATGATGATGATGATGATGGCGGTGATGATGATGATGATGATGATGATGATGATGATGATGATGATGCTGTTGCTGATGTTGATGATGTTGATGGTGATGATGGTGATGGTGATGCTGCTGCTGCTGATGATGATGAGGATGAGGAGGAGGAAGAGGAGGAGGAGGGGGAGGAGGAGGAGGAGAAGAATGAGGAGGAGGAAGAGGATGTGGAGGAGGAGGAAGCGGAGGAGGAGGAAGAGGAGGAGGAGGAGCAGGAGCAGGAGCAGGAGGAGGCGGAGGCGGAGGCGGAAGAGGAGGAGCAGGAACAGGAGGAGGAGAGGGAGGAAGAGGAGAAGGATGAGGATGAGGATGAGGAAGAGGACGATGATGCTGATGATGATGCTGCTGATGATGAGGAGGATGAGGAGGAAGAACGCTGTGTGCCCTAGCATGAGGTCCGATCAACGTCAAACAAGAAGGAAGATGAGGAGGAGGAGGAGGAGGAGGAGGAGGAGGAGGAGGAGGAGAAGGAGGAGAAACGCTGCGTGCCGTAGCATGAAGTCCGACCAACGTCCAACAAGAAGGAATCTGTGGAGGAGGAGGAGAACGAGGAGGAGGATGAGGAAGAGGTGGAGGGGGAGGAGAAAGGAGGAGGAGGAGGAGGAGGGAGCAGGAACAGGACAGGAGGAGGATACAGATGTTACTGATGCTGCTGATGATGATGATGACGATGATGATGATGCTGCTGATGATGCTGATGCTGATGCTGATGATGTTGATGCTGTTGTTGATGATGATGACGACGAGGATGAAGATGATGATGACGAGAGGAGGAACAGGAGGAGGAGGAGGAGGAGGAGGAGGAGGAGGAGGAGGAGGAGGAGGAGGAGGAGGAGGAGGAGGGGGAGGAACAAGCAGCTTGAGGAGGCTGATGAGGAGGACCCTCCGCCGCTCCAGGGCGCGGGCCCGGCTCCTCCTCTCGCCGTGGTGACGGGGGCCCTCCGCCGCTCCGCTCCCGGGGCGGGCGCCTCCCGGAGGGCGGGCGCTCCTCGCCCGCCCCGCCGCGCGGAGGGGCGACGCGGGCCTCCTCCGCGGAGCTGAACTCCACGAAGCCGCAGGCACGCCTGCGGCGGCGGGGCGGCGGGGGCGGGCGCACGGCGGCACCCTTCGTCCTGCCGCCAGGAGCACCGGCAGAGGAGGAACGATATGGGGGCTTTGCCGGTCACGGCTGGCCTCGGCCACGGACATACGGGCCGCCCGTGGCGTGTGGAAGCCATCCAGCACCGACTTGCAATCTACATATGCCTTGGATTTTTCAGACAGAATCTGCTGAAACACCAGGAATCCAGGGGGTTCACCTGCCGGAGGCGTCTGCGGGGGCGGAGAAAACTTCAGGTCCCGAAGCGACGGCCTCGAACTCCCTCGGTTCCGAATGCCCGCAGGCCGCCCACGCGGCCCGATCTAAACCTTTTGAAACTGGTGCGCGTGCATGCGCCATCAGAACCCGTGTTGGGCCCGATATGACAAGTACATCCTACACCTACCACAGTCTCTGAACCAACATGTCGGATTTTCATATATCCACAAGCAGGAGAAGGGAAGGCATCAGGGTCCGATACAGGGTGCATGATGATTCCAAACTGAAGCGCTGACTCCTGGTCACCTCTGTCTATACACTTAGCTAGGAGGGCAGGGCGAAGTAACTCATTTCTGCGATCCACGGCTTCCTCATCTTGGGAATGGAACAGACGGTGCACCAACGTATCACCTGCGCAGCCACATAGGAACGCAACTGTCCTCGATATGATATCTTGCAACTGCAGCCCTACTCGTGGTATCTGATTTCCCAGGGAACCAACTCCCGGAAAACCATTTTCTCTTGTCCTGGGGGGGTCCTTCCTCGGGCACTGCCCCCTCTGTTGGAGAAAAGGGGACAAGGTGGCGCTCTGCCTGTCGGCCCCGCTTCGGTCCGGGCTCCAGCCCTGGCCCCGGCCCCGGCCCCAACAGAAGAGGCTCCCAAGAGAGCCCCAAAAAGGGCTCCGGAGCGTCAACGTCGTCGCCGTCGCCGCCGCCGCCGTCGTCGTCCTTCTCGGTCGGCGGCACGGGTCGCAAGGCCTTCACAATAAGCAGATGGTGGCATTCGACGTCGCTTCATTACCAGGCCAAACGGATGCCGCAGGGAAGATCTTGATGGCTGAACACGATCCAATCAACACACACATATATGTATGTATGTATGTATGTATGTATGTCTGTCTGTCTGTCTGTCTGTCTGTCTGTCTGTCTGTCTGTCTGTCTGTCTGTCTGTCTGTCTGTCTGTCTGTCTGTCTGTCTGTCTCTGTCTGACTGTATGCGTGCATGCATCTGTGTATGAATGTATGCACGCGTACGTGCATGCATGTATGTGTGCATGCATGCATGTGTGTGTATGCATGTAGGTATATAGGTAGGTCGGTAGGTAAGTATACATACATGCACATACACATTCACACACGTACATACATATACCTGTACACACATATAGATTCCTTTCTCTCTCTCTCTCTCTGAACGTGTCCATAATTTCTCCAATGGTTCTGTCCCTTTCCTCATTGCACGCGCGGCGCTTCTCAGTGATCCGTGCAGCGAGGGCCGTGAAGCTGGCTAGATCGGTGTCCGGTGGGATCTCACCGAGCAGCGCCTGCACCCGCGAGGGCAGCAGCGTACCACGAGCCAAGAGCGGCTGTGAACCATCCGAGCCTTCTTTCTGAAATTCGCGGATCAATGCGTCGAAACCCAGAAAGACCTTCGTCGCCATTTCAGAAAGTGGCTGAGTAGACCGGGTCGCAGAAGCCACGTCGTTCAAAATCTGTGAATACATATCAGCTTGCTGCTTCCGCAAAGCCTCCATTTCTGCATTCAATTCTTGACGTGCGCTGGCAACTTCCAACTCGACGCGGGTAGGGTGACAGGCTGGGTTGTCAGCCAATGTAGCTCGCTTCGCTACTGGTTCCACATTCGGCTCAGCAACCGTAACGTCGGCATCCAAATCGCGTGTAATTGGAGAACGCTTTCCGTGCGAAATTAAGAATGTGGTTTCAGACTGGCCTCGGCTGTTTTTATGGCCCTTGTCGGCGACGTGGAAACAATAGCAAGCTTGACATACCATTTCTAGAACCATGGCAACGTCTGTCTGTGTGCGCGGCTCGATATGCACAGCCGGGTCAATCCAGATCTTGCTTTTCTCCACATTCGTGTCAGCGTTGCAAGACACACTGGCAGTAATCTTCACCCCATGTTGCAACATGCCACGAATAAAGGACACACGGTGCAAGACGACCATCGGGAAGGGAGAAACAAGTGCCTCGTGAAGCCACTCAACTCGAGCAAGTACCTCCTGAAACCACTAAACACGATGTGCACACACATATATGTACATATACATATGTATATGTACAAATGGCTCAGACATCTATACATATGCATATATATATATATATACACAATGCATACAAATATATGTATACATATATACATATATATATATAGATATAGATGTATATATTTGCGCATCTTCTAAAGTAGAGGGAGAGGATGGGGATGATGAGGAGTGTCATTGACAGCTGCAGCAACAACATCGGCAGCTTCAGCTGCGACGGTTGCGATGACAGCAGCTGGTCCCCCAAGAGGTCCTCGGAAGCACGAACAGGGCCAACATGTCTATAAGCCTCGATCCTCGACCCCTGGTCGAGACCCAACGCCAACAATGGCAGCACCTGGTCCTCACCTCGCCGGGCAGGTGCACTATGCTGGGGCCCGGGGCAGCCCTGACCAGGGGTGGTGGTGGGGCGTGCGTGCCTTCCTCTCTGTGGGCGACAGCACCAGCAGCAGCTGCAGCACCCGCAAAGTCGCGGCCGCGGACGGGCCCTTGGAGGCCTCAGGAGGCCCGAGCAGGGCCAAGGACGCGCAAGAGCTCGGGCCTTGGGGTCCTAAAGCGGTGCGGTGACAGACCGCGCGGTGATATCGAACCCCCAAAGGACCTCACCGCACGGCCTGTCACACGGCACCCTTTTGCGACCTTGGAGGCCCCCGTCCCCCGACACATCTTGGGAGAACGCCCCGAGCCCCCAAACCATGCGGCCACCCGCATCCCCACGGACCCACCACACGGTTAGAGGCCTCCCAAATGTGGTCCGAGAAGATGGGGTGAGAGGGTCGCGCCGCATCGCCGGTACATCGCCGATGCACCGGCGATGCCCCAGCGACGTCGGCGACGCATCGGCGACGCCGGCGTGGAGAAGATCGGGCTCCACGTCGAGCCGCATCCGGCGCGATCCTGCGACCCCATGTGCTCGGACCCCGTCCGGGCGGCCCAGGTCGGTGCGGCCACCGCACCGTCCCGCGGGCCCCTGCGGTCGGCCCCTGGAGGCCCAGCGGCAGCGGCGGCAGCAGCCGATAGCGACGCCCGCCGCGGCAGCCGCAGAGCCGCGGCCACGGGCGGGGCGGCGGCCGGCGCGCCCGCGAGCGCTCCGCCGCGCAGCGATGTGCACGGTCTGCACGCGGCCTGGCAGACGCGCTGGCGCCGGGCATGCGCGGGGCCCCCCCCGCGCCCGCGCGGCCTCGCAGGGGGCGAGCCGTTGGAGGATCGAGGCTCGAGTGCCGAGGTTTCTGGGCGAGGCCGGCTCGAGGCTCTCGAGGGCCGAGGCTCGAGGACAATGGCTTTGGGGGCCCCCTCGCGGGCCTCCAGGGGAGGCCTCAAGGGGCCCATCCCTCCAGAGACCTTCCGAGACTCCCCACGGGGCCTCGGTAGTGCGTGATCTGAGCTCGTCAGCCTGATGGCGCTCCTGTGGTGAGGGCATTGGAGAAGGAACAAGTGGATGCACAATCCAGGGTTTGTAAGCCGGTGGAACACCAACTGAGGCTTGGCCATGGATGCCACCGCCGCCCTCACCAGATGAGGTGAGGAATCATCCAGGGGGGGAAAGGGAGGGAAGGGGAGGCAGAATGGACGGGGCAGGTATGGGAAGGAGGCAGGGGAGGAAGGGAAAAGGGAGAGTGGGGTGGCCTTCTGCCGTCAAGAACGGGAGGGAAAGGGGAAGGGAGAGGGAAGGGGGGGCAGGAGGGACGGGGCAGGGCTGGGGGGAGGCAGGCGAGGGAAGGGAAGGTGAGAGAGAGAAGGAGAGGCGAGGGCGGGAGGGGAGGGGAGGGGAGGGGAGGGCTGATCTGGCTGTGCAGAACCTCCATGCTCGCTCACAGGCCCCCAAAGGGCGCGCACAAAAAGGTTGGGGCGAGGGGGGCGCCTTCTACCGTCAAGACGCTGAAGGAGGGAGCAAATCGGGGTCGGAAGGGGCTCGCAAGTCCTGAGGGCACTGCTTTGGTGGGGGCATTGGATAAGGAACCCTTAGATAAGAAATCCTGGGTCTAGCAGCAGGTGGAACACCGATTGAGGCTTGGTCATTGATATCACCGCCGCCCTCATCAGGTAAGGAACCCTCCAAGGTCTGACGCTTCCAGGGCACATTCCTTAACGAACGCCCCCACCGTATGGTTGTTCATCCGGCGCTTGTCCACCAGGGCGCTAGAAGGGGCTGCGTGCCTTGTCTGGCGCTCCTTGCGGCATCAGCTTGGCTGCAGGAGGGCAGGGCGCGTCCGTGGCGGGCACGGACGTTTGTGAGAGGAAGGCCTCTGTGAACTGCACGCGCGCGCAGGGACGGACAGCGGGGGCGGGAGAGCGCAGAATCGAATCGATAAATCGGATCTGCAATCGAAATGAATCGGATCGGCGGAAATCGGCAGCCGAGTCGGGAAAGATCGACTCGGCGGAAATCGGCAGGCTAGTGTGCCCCCAATGAGAAATCGGAGCCTGAAGCGGAATCCAAAATCGAATCGAGGAAGAGGAGTAGGAGGAGGAGGAGGAGGAGGAGGAGGAGGAGGAGGAGAGGAGGAGGAGGAGGAGGAGGAGGAGGAGAAGGAGGGAGGGAGGAGGGGAGGGAGGGGGAGGGAGGGGAGGGAGGAGGCGGAGGAGGCGGAGGAGGAGGAGAGGAGAGGAGGAGGAGGATGAGGAGGAGGAGGATGAGGATGAGGGAGGAGGAGTCGGGAAAGATCGACTCGGCGGAAATCGGAAGGCTAGTGTGCCCCCAATGAGAAATCGGAGCCTGAAGCGGAACCCAAAATCGAATCGAGGAGGAGGGGGAGGAGGAGGAGGAGGAGGAGGAGGAGGGAGGAGGGAGGAGGAGGAGGAGGAGGAGGAGGAGGAGGAGGAGGAGGAGGAGGAGGAGGAGGAGAGGAGGAGGAGGAGGAGAAGGAGGAGGAGGAGGAGGAGGGAGAGGATGAGAGGAGGAGGAGTCGGGAAAGATCGACTCGGCGGAAATCGGAAGGCTAGTGTGCCCCCAATGAGAAATCGGAGCCTGAAGCGGAACCCAAAATCGAATCGAGGAGGAGGGGGGAGGAGGAGGAGGAGGAAGGAGGAGGAGGAGGAGGAGGAGGAGGAGGAGGAGGAGGAGGAGGAGGAGGAGGAGGAGGAGGAGGAGGAGGAGGAGGAGGAGGAGGAGGAGGAGGAGGAGGGGGGGGGCTACGAGGGGCCCCGCTCGGAGGAGCCGCGTCCAGCTTGGAGGCCCGCCTCCTGCCGCCGCCCAACGCTCGTGGGGGATCCGCCTCTGGAGGCCTCCAGGAGGCACCGGCTGGGCATCGAGAGGGGTGCAGGGAAACCCGCCACGGAGAAAATCTCTGAGGGGCGCAGGGAACAGGGGAACGAACAATGACATAAACATACGAACTCTGGACCCCCCTCCCCGGCGCGCGGAGCGCGCCAGGGGCGGCGCCAGAGGCGCCGCCAGGGGGTCCAACGCCGATCCGAGAAATCCGCGCGGACCTCCGAGTTTTTATGTTTAGGTCAATGGTCGCTCTCCCCGGGAAGGCCCGCAAGATCCCACGGCGGGGGAGTTCGTTGAGGAACGTGCCCGGGCCTGGCCCCTGGCTGAGGGGGCAGGAGAAGGGAGAGGGGCGAGGGGGAGGGAACTGAGTGGAGGGGAGGGTCGTGGAGAGTGGGCGTGTGGCGGCGAAGGAGGAGCGGCGGGAGGGGAGCAGACCTTTGCGCGCGAGCGCTCACCGCGCGAGCGCTCAGCGCGCGCTCCGCATGCCGCCTCATCCACCGATTTGGCGGGACGCGGGGGCATGCTGCTGACAGGAAGGCGCCGTCAAGGGGACAACTCGGCCAGGAGGCCATCCGGATGCCTTTCCAAGCTGCCCAGCGTCGGCGTGGCGGGGCCACAGGCCATGACGTCCGACCCGGTGCGCCCCCTTGTCGGGGCAGCCCGGTGCCGAAGCGCGACGGGCGCGGGGGGGGGGGGGGGGGGGCAGCGACGGTGGGAGCGGCCGGCGCCGTCGACGGCGGAGCCGCCGCGCGGCTCTCGGCCAACAGGTCATGGCCTGTCTGGCATGGAAGGGATCTGCTTCTTGTCCCCGGCGACCTTCTTCGTGAGCTCCGCGACCGCCTCTTGTGGGGGGCCGTCTCTTCATTTACACAACTCGCCGCTTCTCGCGGGGAGTGCAATCAGCACGCGCTCCCCCCCCGCCCTCCTCGCCCTCCGGCCTCACTTCTTCCCTCTTCTGTCCTCGGCAAAGAGGGGGGGCGAAGTGGGGTACTCCTTGTGGGGGCTTCCTGCATCAGGTGCCGACAGAAGCCGTGGCGTTCCCAGGGGGAGAACAAACAGCAACAGCAGCAAGGAGGAGGGGGAGGAGGCGCGAGGAGCAGAAGAGGAGGATCAGGAGGAGGCCTTTGGACTCTGGACTGAGCGCCAGGGGGTCGGGCAGAGGAGGAGGAGGAAGAGGAGGAGGAGGAGGAGGGGGAAGAGGAGGAGGATGAGGATGAGGATGAAAATGGTGATGATGATAATGGTGAGGGTGAGGAGAAGGAGGAAGAGGATGATGAGGACGAGGAGGACGATGAGGATGATGCGGAGCGAACGTCACCCGAGGGACAAATCCGTTCGATCATCTAGCGGCCGCACATGTGCGCACATGCGCTGAACTGACCACCGCCGTCTTCGCCGAACCTTTTTGGCGCCTCACTCAATTCAGGGACAGAGCTTCGCCCGACCGTGAACGCGATGGTCTGAACTGGAGGATACAGACTGGGTCGGCCGCCGCCGTGCCGAAGACATGCCAGGATATACCACGAAGTGCTGTGGCCCCGCCCCCGGCATGCACATCGTGCCAGCATCAACCCTGTCGTGAAGTCTTTGCTGAGGATGATTGGGGAGTCAAGCGGCCCCAGGGGCTAGAAGGAGATGCACTAGGCCGATCAACGTTCGCTGGAGCAGGCATGCCATCATCACGGTGCTCATTGGCAGGGGCTTTACGAACACCGCCTCCGATGAAGATCAGCTCAAGAGGTAGTGCTCCATCCTTCTTCGTAGAAACTGTCTTCCGGGACTTCGGTCATCAGGTACCCGTCCACCCTGTCGGCCACAATACTTTGCGTCAGGATCACTCGGTTCACCCCCGCAGGCAGCTGGGCAACTTGGTGTTCATGGCGGCCGCGCGCGGGGTGAGCCGCCAGCGCGTGCGAGCTCGGTGAGGCACTGGGACTTCACGTCCTCGAAATGGCGCTGAAAACCATCCGCGGAGAGGGCGTCCCACAGCGGCGTGGTCGATGAACGAGTAGGTGTCCATGGTGTGCATCGGATTGGGGGTTTTCTTGTACGTGTACCCAAACTGGTTGATCCAGCACGTCACGAGAGCGGCCTCGGCGCATTCCTGCACCTTCTCGGTGGCCTGCTGCTCGGTCTTCAGACTCTGCGGATCCTTGAGCGCCGCTGCAGACTGCGCAGCAGCTGCCTTGAGGTCCGTCAGGCCCGTCAGGATGGCAGCCGTAGCAACGTGTCTTTCAAGCGGTCGGTGCCGGCCTGGCGCAGCGGGCGCGTCTCCTCGGCCAACTTCGCGGGGACCTCGTCGGCGATGCAATGCGATCTGGTGTCGAATTCGTAGTCGTGGATGGTCCCGTCGCACAGCTTACGACCGGACCTAAGACAGAAGAGCGTACGTCAGGAACATGAAACCCTCCGCCAACCAAATTGAAGAACATTCGGGGCTACTTTTCCACAAAATGCACAAGAACATCCGACATCCTGCTCCACGTCCTCCTCCCGTCCTCAGGGGGTGGGCCCAGAGGGAGGTTGAGGGTCGCTTGCTGGCGCGTCTCGGGGAGGCTCTCTATGGGCGGGGGCTTCTGTCTATCCGGGGGGGCGACCCGAGCTGTGAGCCCCGCGCCATTCGCAGCACTGGATGGGCCGAGCGTCTTGGAGGACAGATCGCGGCCCCCGCTGTCCCCGCGTGCCGCTCGACGGCCCAGATGTGGAGGGCGATTGACTTTTTCGTTCGCTCGGCCGCGCTCGCCCCGACTCTTTCGGACGCACGCGGGGCGCAGCGTCAGCGCCGCCGCCGGCCCGCGCCGGCCCGTCGCTGCCACCTTGATCGGGGTCCCCGGGATTGACAAGGTTTGGGCCCTCCCTAGGCAGAGGGCCTTCCCCTCGGAGGTCCCCTGCGGCCCCTCTCCTGCTCCAC